CTCCCGCGAGCCAGCCAGCACGTCCCCAGCTGCTGCGGCACAGTGGCCGCAGGCCTCAGCCGTCCCGGCCGTTCTGGCCCTCTCCAGGAGGGGGAACGGCAAGTCCGAGAGCAGCTCTGCCCGAGGCAGGTCCCCTTCGTATCTACAGTACCCTGCATCTGCACCTTCCCAAGGTGCCCTTCACAGGTCCCTCAGGGCAGCTTGCAGGAAAATCTGCTTTGAGAAGCAAGGCTTGGGAGGCAAGGCAGGAGGAGGTGAGACAGGTACTCCAGGCAAAGGATTAGCTACTTTTAGACTCCCTAAGCAGGGCCATTTTGGGCAGAATTTTCAACATCACAGAAAAAGGGATGGAGGGCAAAAGAGAACATTTTCCTCTCACGTTCCAGCTCTTTTTTTCACTATTCTGTCCCAACCCCCTATCATCCATTCAATTTTTTAGGAGTATTTTAGTTTAATATGAAATTACCCTATAATCCCATATTCTCAGCCTGTCCTGATGACATTCCCACTGCTCTGCCCTTGTCTTTAGGAACACTTGCTGTTCCTAGGTGCTACCTTGTGGAAGATGCTACAATGCTTTCTTATGGCAAGGCATAAAGTAGCTCTGGAGTACTGACCTAGCTAAAGTAAGAGCTTATAATCCTGAGCTTTCAGTAGTTTATATCATCAGATATCAGAAGGGTTCTCTATCTAAGGCAAAGGCCTTCCCGGTTCTGCTTCAAAATGAAATTACTGCCTTGCTTTTTGGTACAAAGTTTTAGGCTGCTGCGGCCAGGAGGCACAACTGAGTTCAGCCAGCTCTGGATGTAGAGGCATCAGCCTTGAAGCATGAAGAGGTTTGGCCTTCTGCAAGATGATGTGCTGGGCCAGGCCATCAGGGCTTCCCTGTGTCCCCACACCAGCCTGAGGGCAGGGCTCAGCTGGGTGCCAGGGTATAGGGCAGCTTATACATTAGCCTTCCCCCTATAGCCACAGGGAGATGCACACTCCCCACCAGGTGCTGACTGGCCAGCAGGCCTGCATGGATGCTGGGGTCAGCAGTGCAGGAGCCAAGGTACAGGCTGCAACTTTTACAAAGCATCAGCAAAGCATGAATTACTGTGTGTCCTCCTGGCAAGTTTCCTGGAGCAGAGGACACACCAGCAAGAATGCTATCTCCTTTTCCAGGGCTGGTTGGGACAGGATTTGTGTGTAGCCCGTACAGCACATAATTCATCGGACTATCATTTACATAGCATGAGCTCAGCACTGCAGCACTCACTGACATTTTGAAATATTCTGCTAGGTGCTCAGCAGCGTACTGGGAGGACAGCATGACAAACATCCCAAAAGGCATGCTGTCTCCTTGCAGGACATGACCCTTTGCTTGGAGGAGGTGCTCTCCAAAGGTTTACGTCAATCAATCTTACTTGTCTGCAAATCCCTAATTTCTGCAGTGACTTCACTCTTTTTGCCCCAGGACAGCATAGGTGTGCTCAGTATAATGTGAAACGCTTCATGATTTTCTTCCAGACCATCTTCCTTAAAGTAGATATCTTAAGCTTTATGGAAATACCTGCAATATGTAAACGCAAAGGTATAAATCTCTGTAATGTGGAAAACCAGCTTCATGAGGTCGTACAAAAATGCAGCCACGTGACTGCAAAACTTCATTTACAAGTATCTAAATATAGATCATAGCAAGCAGCAGACCCAGACTTTAATTTTAAAAGGGAGGGCACAGGGGAGAGTGCAGAGTCAGCACTTTTTAAATAAGAAGTTCTTCTTGTACTAATTCATTTACAGCGGCATCTTCCTTTGACACAGCAAATTTGCATCACACAATCCTGATCACAGAGACATAAAGGTTTTTATGAGAGCCGGAAATAGCCTCCCTTCAGCCATTGCTGTGAAAGTGCTGCACCACCGCTGACCTCCGAGCGCAGACAAGGGCAAGCTGCAGCTTGCACCAAGCGAGCTGAGCACCCTTTACTCCCCTATGTGCTTTTTTACTTTCCTCTGGGGAGAGGTTCAGTGCACAAGATACCACCTTGCTCTTAGAGACCCACTGCAAGAAACACTGAGGGAGGGAAGCACTGCTTATGTCCTGCATTTCACCTTCTTTCAACTGCTCTCCACCGCTTTGGATGCTTAAATATCCTTAATACCCTAGTATACCAATTGACTGCCATTTCCTTGATTGCAACTAGGTATCGTATTAAATTTTTTCAAATCATTCTTCTACCCTCACAGTTTCCAGAGAAATAGAGAGCATGTGGATATTTTAAATTTAGGAGCAGTCAGTCATTCCTAGGAAATCCCTGAAACACATCACAAAGATAGTGGGCAAGAGTCCTACCTCACATACCCGAATAAAACAGAGCAATTCTACATGAACCAGCGATACATTGGTTTTGCACAGGGAGTAAACTCCCATCAGGCAGTCAGAAACCTGCCTCACAGGGTTGAAGCAGATAGCCCCGTCCTGGGGACACCTTTGCCTTAGGATTATAGGAACCTCCTCCTAAACTGGGAGGGCTGTGCCTGACTTGCAGTAAATACCTCGATCCAGCTGCAAAGAAAAGGAGATGCTTCAGGAAATGACTCCCTCCCCCTGAGCTGAGGCACCGTCCAGCCCCAGCAACGACCCTGCTGCAGGGTGGGTGGTGAGAAAAGCTTGACCTGCACCCAACAGGCAGGTACTTTTGCAACCTGAGCCCTGATCTGCGGAGCACTGCTATTGAGGAATGGAATTCAGGTCTCACTGGTGTCAATGGGATGTAAGCAGATGCTTGAATGAATCCCTAAATCTAAACCCAGCATGAAGAATGTAATGCAAATTCCTAAACGTTTTCCGCAGTAATAATCAGAAGAGAGGTTGGAGGGGGGAGGAGGGAAGGAGAAACTATCTAAACTGGAATGAAATTTAGCAACAACATGATGAGAGAAATGTACATTTGCTAAAGGTTGCACAGGTTTGCTAGTTGCTTGAATTTCACATGTTGGAGACCTATGTTATTATCAACAAACCCCCAAAATATTCACTCTTTCACTGTTATTTACTAATTTCCTATTTAATGTAATGGAAACTAGCTGGCATTTTTTTTCCAACTAAATACTGAAATTTTTTTTTTTTTTTCGCAGAAGGGAAACTATCAATTTACAACTGTTTTATGTTTGACGGGAATGGGACATTATGATGTTCTCAAATCAAGACATTTAGCTGAGGCTTGTTGGACTTGGGCAGCATATGTCAACTGGAGTTCAGCAAGTCACTGCGGCCCAGACCAACCTAGAACAGGCTACTGCATTTTGATTGCCCTCATCAGATTTTTCCAGTAGCCAATCTGAAATTCTCAAGTGGAAAATAGAAGTTTGTACAGAAATTTAATTTTTCTCTGATATAAAGCCCCTGATCTGCTCTACTCATAACCTGCACAATTTAGAAGAGTCAGCATGTGACCGAAAAGAGCACGCATCCTGCATTTAGAATCTTTGAAAACTACGGCTGTATTAATAGTGGTTTCCTGCGCTCACTCCTGCCCTCATCAGTACTTCCCTGCTGTGCATTAAGAGCGCGTTCTGGCACAGTGTTCGGCAAAGATCCCTACAGGACAATCAGAAATGCTTCAGTTCTGCAGA